TCCTTCTATTTCAGTCATAAATATGTATGTCACCAAACATATGGTAAATTGGGGAAAAATATATGTGCTGGGTGTAGGAAGCCTATAAGATAATCTGAAGACAGAGGTGGGATCATGTCTTGTCAAATGCATCTTATTTTGTGGCCTTCACTGAAGCTGTTGTCATCAAAGTGATGCTTTGTACTCTTTGCTTAGCATAGGATAACTGATCACTTCTCTCTCCTAGATCAACAGTGATAGTAGAGGCATCTGGTATAGGAGCTTAGAGAAGCCTCAGGGACAGAGGAAAATTGCACAAAGGGACATGTGCATGTTTGTGTTCTGGGCACAAATGTGTGTGCTGCTGTGGTGAGGGTGTGTGACTGAAATGGGGGCTGAGGTGTGTGTGAATCCAGCTGTCCCCATCTGTGAGAAGGAAGGACCAAATGGTGAGGTGGCTTTTTCTTAATTAAAATACAATCAGTTCAAGAAAGGCCTGAAGCAGTTGATCATTCATTGAGATCTAGTCCATTAAATATCTCTTAGTGAAGTTACTATTGTGTCCTGCAGTATCTGATGAATTTAGAGTCTGCTATTCAGCACTGGGTCTTCCTACGTAATGAGTAGCCTTTAAAAAGCACTCTGGGGTTAAAGAGCTGAGTGTATAAATGTGTGCTGTAGTGGTATCTACAACAGCAATACTCTGCCCTAACTAATGTCATGTGTTTTGCAAGTGAACTTAAAATAGCATGTGTTGGAAATCAGGGGATGAGAAATGTAATTGTGTGCGTTCTGCAGTGGAGTGGTACCTGAAATACTTTTGGATGCCAGCAGCAGCCAACCCAAGGTACTTCTGTGAGTTTGAAACAACAATTGAAGACTTCATGAGTGTCTTGAACTTTAAAGGCAAATCCCAAAGGGTGAGTACGGTTAGATTACAGCCTGGTTGTGAACCAGAGCTAGTACACAACTCATCTAGTCTGAGCCAACATAGGTGTGCAGAGTTCATCTTTCCTTCCAATGCTGCTGCCCTCTGTCTGCTCAACATTTCTGCAGTGGTTTTTCCCTTTGATTTATTTTTCATTTGTGCTACCTGTCCCAAGAGATTGAGTCACAGTCATAATGTGTTTGAACTCCCACCTGCAAATTTCCGTGTTCTTGGTACATTTGGTGACACACAACTGATTCAGCTTTCCCGAAAGCTCTCTCACTTGGGAGAGTGGTGCTTTACTCTCTATTACCAAGGTCTCTCTCTTTGTGTATCCTTTAACACCATCCACCAAATCATCACACAACTTTCCATGACCATTCCATTAGCACAGTCTTTTCTTCCCTCCCAGCTCTTTGCTGAATACCCTTCCTTCTGCTAATGCCAATTTTAAGCTCTGGAGCTATATCCCTTCACTCCCCTTGTGACATCTACTTTCACATCCCTAAAAACTTCCTACACTGCTATCACTGCTTCATGCAACACTCTCCTACTCCACTTCTGGTGCACAAGGAGTCGTCTGTAAGCACATCCTCATCACCACTCTTGAGGAGGACAGCCTCAAAAGATGCTTCCTGAGTCCAGCCAACCCTGTTGGTTTGCTCTGATGTCTCTATGCCACTGGGACCTGAACGAGCTGGCCATTCATGCCAAAATGTTTTCTGAGCTCTGGATTTCTTGATCGGGTGTTAGATACCAAAACACCGTTAAAGTCAGGGTTATGTACCTATACTCAGTCCTCTGGAAATGCCACATGCAGTGATGCTTCATCTCGCCTCTTCTGTCATTTTCTCTCATGTCTGCTCCTGCAGGAAGCCAGTCCTGGGCTGAGGACTGGGTGGGAGCCTGTGAGATAGGTCTGCCAACTCTTTGGGCAGCCTTCTATGGAGAAGACCAGGGAGCTATAAAGAAGCCCAAAGGAGCAGAATATTCCTTTCTACTCAGCTATCGTGTTGTGTACAGCTGATGTGCAGCTCTTCCCTCTTTCTTTTTTGTGGGACAACGTGTAAAGACTCTCAGACTTTGCAGCCCATGCTGGCTGGGAGGAAAAAGCATAAGGATGGTGCTCATAAGCATCTCCTATGGGAACAGAGAACAGCCTCATCTCAGTGTGCTCTCTTCCAAACAGTCTCTTTCAGAGGCTACTTGTCAACAAGCTTAATTCTACAACATGATTCAAACTGGATCAGGAGACAGCCCCTTCTGCAGGCCAGGTTAACCTTTTCCATTTGCATTTGAGTTCTCCATTTGTTAACAGCTACCCTAATGAACACAGCCAGCAGAAAAGCCTGTCCCTTAATATGACAGTAGTTACCCAAGTGAGGAGCACTTCTGTGGTGCTTCCACAGAGGAGAGCTGAGCAGCTGGCTTTAACAGCAAAGAACTCTCCCAGCTAATCTCCATGACATAACTCTTCCTGAACAGTTTCATCTCACAGGATGAGTTAGGAGTTTCTGACTGCCTGCTTGACTATTTTGATGGCTACTGTTTAGCAAACTGACCCTCTCCTTCTTCTAGAGATGCAGTTTAATTTACAGTTGTTCATGGGCATCCTGCTCCTTGCCTGCACTGCCTTCTACAGTTAACTTTAACACTATTATTTTTGTTATTGACAGTCATCTGCAGCCAGCAGAAGTTTTATGCTGACAGGCAAAGATGATATGCTGATATTAAGAATTCCAAGGCATCTGAAATGTGAAGTGGTATCTCGCTTCCCTGTGAAGTCTGTCTTTATACTGAACTATTAAAATGATAGACAGATTGGGGTGTTTTCTCAATGTAAGCAACTTGTCATAAACTACTCATGCACAACTATGTCCATATACATAATATGTTCAGTAGTGGTATTTGAAAATAGTATCTCACTAGATATATCTACTTGCTTTGTATTTGTATTGGTTTTGTGTTAAATACAACATTTACATTTGGATGTGGAGCTGGAGTCATGCACGCAGTGCTGGTGTCTTTGAGAATGTGACCGCGCAGGCTTTCCCCAGCAACTTGCTTAGGCAAATCCAGGCACGGAAATGCTGTATCACATGCATCAACCAGGGCAAAACTTGGTATTGCTACAAGAAATGATGAACCAGAAGGAGAGAACCCAGTTTGAAGCTCAGATTCTGGAGAAAAAAATAGAGTATATTTGAAAACAAATTCTCTAAAGTAGCTGTACTCCTGAGCCAGACGGCTCTCCCAACACTAAAGTGAGTTTGAAGAAAGGCTGATATCCAACCAGAAGCTGATCTGATTTAATTTACAGTGTCTGTCTAAGCCAGTGTCACCCTCTCTTTTGTGGGACATGCACACCACCACACTGGACAACTGGGGAGTGAACTGCATTGCTAGAAGACTTCATCAAGCACCAACAGTAATTAGCTGAGGTCCTGAAACACGAGGGAGTTTTATCCCTTATGCATTAGCTAACTAGACTCTTCTCACAACCTATGTAAATATTAAGTTTCCAAGGATATTGGGCTAGAGGGCTCCACAGGCTGTTTACACACTGCAGAGTGCTGAATGTGTGCTGCTTTCTTTTTTTCTGTATTCTGACTGTTCTTGTATCCTGTGAAAGAATAGACAGGAGGTTTCAGTTCGCTTCTCCACGCTTTTTCCTTCTTTAGATATATTTTATGGCATCCCTTTCCATTTATTTCTTCCCTAAGCAAAACATTCCCAGTATTTCCAGCCTCTGCTCACCCAAAACATTACTTGTACTTGCCTTTTTGAAGATCAGAGTTGATCTTGCTTTTGTGCTGCCAACTATTTTGTGGATGAACTCACCAGAATTCAATAGGTGCAAAGAGCAAAAGAGTCCCCTCAGCAGAAGCCATGCTGGTTTGGCCTGGTCCTATCACATGAGTCTCTACATTATACACTTCCCCAAATGACCTTTCAGTACCTATTCTACATAATAAATTACTGCTGCCTGGTCATTTCATTTCTAAGACACCAATTCCTTCCCAGCCAAAGAACTCATTCAATAACAACAGGGACAATGTCTGTTGACCTCACTGTCGTGGAGGCAAGCGCTGATCTGGACTTGCTGTGGATGTAGCTGTTAATGTAAGAACCTGCATTCATAGAGTAGTTTGGGTTGGAAAGGACTTTAAGATCATCTAGTTCCAACCCTCCCACCATAGGCATGGACACCTCACCCTAGACCATGTTGCCCAAGGCTCTGTCCAACCTGGCCTTGAACACTGCCAGGAATGGAGCATTTACCGCTTCTCTGGGCAACCCATTCCAGTGCCTCACCAACCTCATAGTCAAGAACTTCTTCCTTATATCTAATCTAAACTTCACCTGTTTCAGTTTAAACTCATCACCTCTTGTCCTATCACTACAATCCCTGATGAAGAGTCCCTCTCCAGCATCCACTCAAAATCTCTGTGTTTTTCAAGTTTGCCAAAAAGACCTAAAGGTCTGGATAAAAAGCTTTGCAGAGCTGCTCTTGGGAAATACATCTTCAGCGGGTAAGGAGAAATGTTTGCGCAATCTTGCAAGTGCATGGGAGAATATGAAAGCAGTACGCTAGGCCATAGTAGTCCTGGTTGTAAATCATGTACGTTGTTGCCTCTGGAGACAACCAAGAACATTGTTGCCTTAAATAATTACTGAATGCTATCTTCATATCTTTATATTTAACACCTTTTTAGTAGAAAGAGTAATATATCTTCCAGGACGAAGTTTTATGTTGGGTGAAAAATAGCCTCCTAAAGCCATACCTTTCAAAGGATAAAAAGATAAAGGACATGAATGTGCCCTAACAACAGCCATTCCAGGAAATATGCTGAGCCACCTCCAAAACATAGAATCACATGAGGAAAAACCTTTTTCCAGACTAAGCCCTTAACAAAAGATTATGTGTAAGCAACATAATCTACAGAGGAAAAACCTGCTACAACCTTTTTGTTAATCATAACTAAGATGCATTTACTGAGCACTGCATGATTCCTTCCTTGCAGAGGAGTAGCCTTTTAGATCTTTATCCCCTCAAAATATATGCTGAAGTAGCTTCTTCCAGCTGGTGTGCTTATTGCAAAAATTTTCTATCAAAGGGGGTTGTAGAGCTTTCTGACAAGCCATCAAGAGCAGAGCGTTCACGGAGCCATTCTTGCTTCCTTACTAGCTCCTCTGTTGCAGCTTCAGGGGCCCAAATCTACAAAACAAAGATATTTATAGTTATTTTGGACTGCAAGTGAAGTATTAAGATGATGCTGTGAGCCAAATAGAGCTGTTTTCTAGCACTCTTTTCCATCCTGAGACATAGAAGAAAACCGGTGTGGCTTCCTGGCAGAAGATACCACAACAATTTGTGTACGTATAAGCAGAACATTCTCTTGTTGCTGCTAATCTCTAACATGCCATAGGCTCAGATGAGGGATAACGCAGGAAAGAAGATGCAAAGCTAATTGTTTAGAATGACTGACTCGGGCCCAAGATCCTCAGAGTGGAAAACAGTAATTAGCTATATAGAGTCACTGATGGTGTAGCCTTATTCCCCTGAGACCATTGCAGAAACTGGCACAAATCAGGCTTAGAGAAATGGTAAACAACCTCTAAGCAAAACTGTTCAGTCAGCAATGGTGGTCTTTTCCTTTTTAAGCAGAGGAAAAAAAAGTATTACTTCTCAGTGGTCATCTTTCTCTGCTTCTTGGTTATTCTTGAATGAGTATTAACAAGTCCCTAATATAAAAATTCTATTTCCAGTATTCTAACTCAAGGAAGTATATATTTAGTGTACTGTGATCCATTTAGGTCAGTAAATGTTACTTTAGCAATCATGGGATAACTAATTGAGAAGGCAAGTTAGAAGATGGTGCTGCTCCCAAGCACAAGGACTCGTATCCTTTAAGTGTAGGAATGTAAAAATCCTTACAATGAACATAGTGGCATCTGTAATTTTATTGTGGGTCCAATTTAATCCTATTTTAAAACCTGATAAGGGCTCGCTTTCCAGGATAATTTGTTTTATATAAATATATGTGTGTGTATATATAAAATACACGTACACATGGATTCATTAGTTCACTGTTATTCTATGGCCATCTCTCTAGCCCATGTCACATGATCTACAAGCTAGCTGAATTGTGAAGTTGTTTCATCATATTATTCTTTGTTTTGATCTACAGCAAGGTCTGCCTTTACATTAATGCGAAACCATGCTCGTGTTTTGCTACTGTACGTACTTTTCTGGGCTTGAATGTGATGTCCTCTTTCTTGGTAGCACCACTGGCTATCAAAGAGTTCAGATAAACAACGCTGTCCTTAAGGGATTGTGTTGCCTTTTCAGGAACGGATGTTTCTTCATCTGCCAGTGATATCTGTGAGGACTGAAAGAGAAGTTATCAGTTATACAGCGTGTCCAGAAGCAAGGCACACATCCTGCATCTTTGGCTACTTCTTCTGGTTTTTATCGACTGTGGGTGTATTTTTCTTAATCTGTTCAGAATCTGTTTTTCTTACATCTGCTATTTATTTTATAACCAAAAACTGTGAGGGGAAATCTTCTAAAAGGCTTCTTAGGCTTCTGATGACTCTCCTTCTTGGACACTAAAACATTAACTGCTCTTCAAGACTTGAGACAGCCACCTAGTGCCACTGGTAATCCCCTCCTGTGCCAGGTCATGACTAAATTAGCAACTACAGTTCTCCTTTTCCTGCCTAACATAGTCCTACACTATCCCTGACATTCAAAATATCTTTGAAAGGGGGAAACCAACATTTGGCTACCAGGAAATATTTGCTACACCATCCAGGGCAGGACTGCTGAAGGACACTTCCAGCAACGTAGATACAATTGCATTTTCTTCCTAAATGGCATCCTGGGTCTGACTAACAAGTACCACTGGTAAATCAAGAAGATCTCCTCCACCATAAGAGAACCTTAAGGATGTGGTCACAGAAGCTGATATCAGCTTGAACTAGGGCACTGGTAAGGTAGTCAAGGTTCCTGGGAATGCTGGAAAAGCATTCAGTAGTACAACAGCCAAACTCAGTGTGGGATTTGAGAAACAGGACTCGTGTCAACAGTAGAAGAGGAAGGTTAAGAGACAAGATGGGAAATGAGAAGTCAGTGAGCCTGATATTGCCTTAATGAGCTCCATTAGCAGAATAAAAAAACCTTTCTACTAATTTGAAGGGCCTTGGTCTTACCTGTGAAGAAACAGGTGCTCCCTTGAAGAAATTATGCTTACAGGTTGTTTGGTATTTACAACGGAGCTGGATGATCATAAACTTCAGCGGGAGGGGGAAAAGAGAAAATATTTTTCTGTGTCCCATCAGTGACATAGGACACAATTCTTAAGAGGGGAAGACATGAAGTTCATATAATTAACATGTCAAAATTTCAGCCAATGAACCAAGTACTAGTATTGGCAGAACGAGTACTGGCTTCTGAAAATACTTTAACAAAACTGCCTGATTTATAGCTTTAGAGAGACATGGATGGCAAATACATGAAAGGAAGAAGCATTCTACTAACTATTAGCAAATCAATCCTTTGTTACCATCTTTCATACCTCTCTTTTGGCAGCTTGTTCCTCTGCAGGCATTGGTGTAGATGGCTTTGGCTTCACAGCTTTTTCTTTGTTTTCTGGTATTTCTGGCAAATTGTCCAGTTTATTTTGGAGCAGATCAATTATTCTAGAATCTGCAAATACTTTAGCAATATCAAGAGGATTCTTTCCTGTATTAAAAATAAATACCTGCATAAGCCATGAAAATGAACCTTGGTACTTGTTATTGCAACTGGAAAATGACACCACAGCCAACTGAATTTAATTAGGCCTCTATTTTATTAACCACTCAGTGTGCCAGCAGCGTGCCTGACATCGTGTGAGGGCTGGCAGTCATCAGCACAGTTTGCCAGAAATAAGACCTTGCAGAAATGAGCCTTGGAAGCAAGTATTGCAGGAATTCTTGGAGTGGTAGCTTTGCTCTTAATGTCCTGACATTTGCAGCTTAATGTGCTGGTCCTGCAGGTTGTGATTTTGACCTCTGAGAGCATTTACCACTAGGAGATGGCTAGCACAGTACAAGGTTAGGAATGTAGACCAAGTTATTGTAGGTATCTACCTCTTCCAGTACTTGCTCCATGGCTGGCAAGGAGTCAGGGGAAAGCTCCATGGTTTAGATGTGGCTGAACACCTTCAGGGCTTAATAGAGGACAAACTCTTGGATCTTACAAGGTAAAACGCTGTGGCTGTAAAGTAGCTGTGAGCCTAAACTGCTGTGTGAATTAGAACTACACAGAAATAAGGAATACACATACCTTCTACAAGCAGAGTTTCAACTACTAGGCATTTTGGCAAGGAAAATCTCATTATGTAGCAATGGTGCTTCCTCTGTTAGAGCAACAGCTTAAAATCTGACAAATGTTAACTTTTTAAATTACTCCAAAAAGAGAGGAAATAATACTGCATGAGGGATCTGCTGTGAGGAGGTAACACTTCAGTATCAATTTGATTTGTTCTTCTGTTAAGTATTTTTTTCTCAGGGAGTAATATTTCCATGCTAACCAACAAGAAATTTGTTTAACCTGTGCTGCCTGTGCATAAAAAGAAATGATTTAAATGGGTGGCAGAGTATACACTGGCCACAACTAAAATCTAATTTTCCATCAAATAATATTAAAAAGTAGACAGATTTTTTTTCATTAAAGCCACTTATAACTGTACGAATCTTGTGAGAAACAACAGACTTCTTAATCATGTAATTAATCATGTTACTTCATTTTCTAGATGCATAAAACCCAGGAAAGCTGACTAGTTACAATAGTGAGTCCACACTGTAGAAAACTAATTGCACTTCTTACCTTCATCCTGGTCCTGACAGTGATCATAAACCCAGAACACTTCTCAAAGTGTTCCAAGAACTTAGTTTTGTTTGGTTTTTTTAATAAAACATGGATACATGTAAGGAAACATGCCTTTTTTTGGGATGTTGATATTTACCATTGCTGTTTGTAGCTTGGATGTCAGCACCCTCTTCAAGTAAAAAATAGACAATATCCAGTCTGGACACCTCAATGGCTCTCATTAGTGGGGTTGCATTGCCTATTGCAGGTGCATCCACTGCTGCTCCAGCCTTCACTATCAGTTTGGCAATATCGAGGTGTCCATTATAGCAGGCGTGATGGAGAGGAGTCCACATGAAATTGTCTGTTGCATTTACATCAGCCCTACAAAAGAATAAGAGAAGTTGAGGCAGGTGAAGCTACCTACTAGATACAGGAATGTCAACACAAGCAATGTTAACAGCTCCCTGCAATGGCATATTCAATGTGTTTAAGTGTTTTCATATTGCTGCTGCTCCTCTGAAGCCATTTTAGTACCCAATACATACTCCAATATATGGCTTGTCATGTAAGACACCATAGTCCTGTAAAATGCTGCTTGTGTTTGTGCTCCAGCTTCACAGATAATGGCAAAAAGCAGATTAAGGAATTCAAAAAAGAGCAATTCTGGGCCAAGAGCAGATGGAAAAACTGCTGATGTACAAGTGAGTTAGAGAAAGTCTCTCAAAATTTGAGCATTTAAAACTTTTTCAGCCACTGTTTCTGCTGTCAGGCTAAAACTGGCATGTTTGGAGGGTGCAAGGGCTATTTTGAACGAGATATTTGGAATCTGCTGCCTTTGGATAAAGCTGAGGGGAAAAGCATTATCAGCCCTTTAGCAACTGGCTGCCTTGGAAGCTTTTGGGCTGGGGTCATGCACAAGCAGGGGTTGGGGAACCACAGCCACAAAAGCCCCTTAAAGGTGTTAAAATGGAAGAAATATGGTTCCCCCACATGTCTGAAGAGAGCACAGCCTGTGACCGTGCCCAGATCTGCAATCTGTGTGTGTCACATGTGGGTTCAGAAGGGGTCAAAGCCTCATGAGGGGATTCCCCAGTACTCAAGCAGGGTGAATTACTTGTGCCTTGTAGTTAAAGACAGCCTAGAGGTCCTGAACTGAGTTAGGGTCGCTGTCCCATTGGTTCTAGGGACAAAGAGCTGATGTCTTCCCAAAAGACATGGAAGGAGTGAAAAGGAAGAAAATGATGGCGGAGTTGCTTCCAGGGATAGCTCTTTGCTTTTCAGGTCAGATGGTTAGTATTTAACTCTAGATCAAAAGAACAGATTCATGTGTTTTGCTGTGTTCATTTTTAACATTTTTCAGTATTCTGCCTTTGGTGAGATCGTATCCCAGTAATTCCCCCATCCTACCAGTTTTACCTTTGTTATCTTTCAGCTGCATAGCCCTTACGGTTTATTTGTATGCAGTGCTCATTGCCTTTATATTTCTCATTAAATATGCAGTTACTCCACTTTCTCTCCCAACCCATCCTCCATGCCTGTACCAATACGCTGCCCCTGAATCCTTTTTGCTAACTTCATTCTGTCAGAAACAAACCAATCAAAGGGAACAGCAACAACACAGCACTGACTTAGGAATTCTTCAGTGTTTTTTCCTGATCAAGCATTAAATTTGCCTTAAGCCCAAATTTAATTTACTTCTGAGTCTTTCTAGAACAAGATAGAAAGCAGATGCCACCAATTTATGTTTAAATCTCAGTGTTCTCTATAGCTCTGGATAGATGTTTTGTTTCTATTTGATATGGATTTGTGATACTGTACCGAAAAGGTTATATTGTAACAAGTATTTACACTCCCATATCAAATTGAAAGTACCTGAAAGTCCACACTGCTGAAAGATTCAAAGCTAAACACTGTCCTGATAACTTTCCTCTCCATGTTCTAACTTCTGTCAATTTAAAAACCACAAAATTGATACTATTTTTTAAGATTATTACATTTCTAGAGCTGTTAAACATGATGAGATGTGACTCCAGTGCTGTCTTGTGAGGCTTGACAAAAGCAGTGGAGATTAATTTGCTAGATAAATTTGCTAACTCTTACATCTTTATCCAGGATTGCCTTGCTCATTTCAGGCGAGTCACTTGAACCAGATTTCCCCAAAATCATTCATCTGAGTTTGAGAGTTCGGTTTTGAGGATGCACAATTAGAGACTGCAGTTCTGACAGGCACTCTGCCTCTGATCAAAATGCTAACAGCCTGGGCATCCGAAACCTTCAGACCTGGGGAACTTACCTTTTGGGTGTTTCTATTTCCCTGTTAATAATGTGAAAAATAATAAACTAACCCTCTGTAACTCAGGATCTTATGGAACTAACTTTAATATTAAATGTTATATAAATAAAATCCAAATTGTGGTCTGTTGCATCCAAATGTTTGCTGGAAATTTATGCTTTTGAAAGCCTCTCCAAATTGGCAATTTAAAAAAAAAAACCCTCTGAAATGATCTTACCCTTTTTCCAGAAGATACTGCACAACAACTATGTTCCCACTTGCACATGCAACCATCAAAGGTGTTTTGTAATATTGATCTTTTATGTCTACGTGCACACCCTCCTCAAATGCTTTCTGCAGAGATGGAAAGTCTGCTTCTCTGACAAGGTAGTTAATGTTCATGTACGTTTTCCTTGGCTCGTCTATATACCAGGCACGGTCATCATGCACGGGATGGGCAGATGGGTGGTCTCGGTTAAAATGGGAGATGTCAGCAAGGTTTTGGATGACTTCAACCATGTACACAGGGAAACCATCTTCTCTAAGAGGACAGGCGCTCTTTGGCATAACACAGATCGGCACAGGGACAGCGACGCCTTTTTTGCCTCTTCGCTTCTTCCCTTTCTTCCCCTTCTTCCCTTTGGGTCCATAGGACGTTATAAGATAGTTTTTTGGCAAGTATTTAGAGCCTTTAAGAAAGTCTTCAATGCTGATTCCATCAGCCTGACGTCCTTCGTGCATTTTAGCAATAGTTTCTAGTTGTTCAGTGTCCACAAAGGCACAGTGCTGCTGAATAACCGATATAAAATTGTCTTTAGTCACCTTCCCATCTCCTTGGTCGACAGCTTCGAACGCCTTGCGGAGGGCAGCCTGGTGCTCTAAGGACCAGTCGTACAGCCTCACAGCCCACTGGGGGTTTTCCTCCTTGTCATCAGTCTTGGACTGTTTTGCAAAGGTTTTCTCAATTTTACGCAGTTCTGATACTGCTGCTTTAAAACCACCATCCTTGGCGATGGCTCTTGGTGTCTTTTTTGACAAGTTTATCCACGTAGGATCACAGCCTAAAAATATGGACACAGTTTTGCTGGTAATGCAGTGAAATTCCTAATTATGTAATTATTTATATGAGACTTGTACTGTATGTGCAACTAATTGCCACAGGTCTACAGTTTTATACTGTCTTAACTATAAAAGGCTATAGAAGATGGAACCATGTCATTGATCCCAGACGAAAGTTAGCCACATGCCCGTATTTGTTTTCCAAAGGGAGGTTCATGGGGCAACTCATGCTTTACTTATCCATCCATTCATGAATATGTATAGAAAGGGAGAAGTTCAGTGGAAACTATGTTTTTTAAGTGGTGAGAAAGGTTAAGAAGCAACTTAGTGTTCTATACCCTCACCTTGGAATATGGCATTGGATCACTAGCTAAATGTTTGACTCATAAGAACAGAATGCAGGATTTTGCATGGTCATTTTGAAGTGTTATGATCACGTGATTAAGTTAGATCATGATCACAGCTGTTTTGTAGTCTGTTTCAATACCCATGAGCATGAAGTTTTCCCCATGACTACAGAGATTTATTTTTTTAAATGATCAGCAAACCAAAAATTACATTTCTGTTGGAAGTGTCAATGCAATACATCTAAACCCAACCAAAACCAGAACCACCTAAGACAGTCCAGTTCTGAGTTATACAAACCCGTGATGTTTCTGCTACTTTCTTTGAGAAATGTTTTATCTTGGCCACGTGTGTATAGATAAATCACAATAGCCTATGTTAGGCACTTCTTAATGAGAATTACATTTGCCACATGGTACCCAAGAGTCAAATCCTTCATAGATGCCCAAATAAAATCTTCCTTTCAGCAAAGAAATGGAATGTACATGATAGTTGCAAAGTAACTTATTTTTAATGTACCTCTTTGTCCTATAAACTTGCAGCAATTTGCAAATCCTCCCTCTGCAGCGTAATGAAGCGGCGTGTTACCATTCATAGCGATCAGGCCCACGTCCCCATTATAAGCTGAAATAACCCTCAGAATCTAGAAAAACAAAGACAATACCACCAAAATCTGGTCTGTTCCTTAAGATGGGGAAGTGTCAGAATGATTTCCAAATAAATGCGGTATCATAGATTCCCAGTTCATTTAGTAAAGATCTCTAATCTCTAATAAAGCCCAGCTAATCGAAGCACATGTAACATTTCCTGTTTTCTGCAGTACTCTGCTTATTTCACAGAGGAAATAGAAACCTTGTTCTGTTGTAAACACTAAGGACAATCTTCATTCCTGCCACCTCACTGCAGGCCACTGTCTTAAAGTAACTCTGACAATGCATGCAACAATCAAAACTGTGTAATTTTATGCACTTTGAAGGCTATTTGGGCAATAAGGAAGTAACTGCCTAATTGCAGCTGTTTGCATCTGCCTCTCTTGTAATGTTTCATCTAAGTTACAGAGCTGTGACATGCTACGTGTTGAGAGAAACAAGCTCTCCAACAGAGCTGTTCACACCAGCCAGCCACACTAGCACACTCAGAGATACCTTGGCAAAAAAGGCTCTGCAATTATGAGAGGTTCTATCACTGTTGGATTCCTTTTGATACTTAAAAAGAAGCTGCTTTTGATGGCTGGTTATTAGGCTTAGATCAGCTCAGATACTGGACTCAACCTAATCCCAAAAAAAACCCCAACCAAACAAACCAACCACCCCAGGTTTGGCTTTGCAGCAATGCTTTAACACCACAAATAGAGATACCTCAAAAAAGCCTCCTTTGGCTGCAAAATGTGCAGCATTTTGTCTTTCAAAGTCAAACAGGTTAACATCAGCTCCTCTCTCAAGCAGACCACGCACCAGCTCAAGAATACCTTCTCTTGCAGCTTCCATTAAGACTGTGCGACCCGTAGCCTGCAAAGTAGCAAGAAAGCAATTCAGTTTGTTTCCTGTGCTAATTCAGGTTGGAACAACATGATCTGCTTGTTGCAAGGTGGCATAAAACCAAAGGTTTCCTTTTAGGTATTACCACAAAAAGGAGATCAGTCTAATAGTTTCCAAAATGCTTGCAGGTAAACTTCAAGAATCTAACCATAATGCTGCTAAAGCATGAGTAGGCAAATCCCAGTGACTTAGATACATTAGTAGCTTGAGTTCCTTCAATATTCCTCATGAAAATCAATTCCTTAGTTATGGAATACTTTATTCTGTGTGTATGTATAAACATGCTTTCATGCATGTTTATAAAACTTAACACAAAATCCCACCTCTATCATTAAGAAAGCATAAGGAGCTATGGCTGGAGGAATGCTACAGGGAAGGCAGAGCAACTGGGGAATTTTACTGCTGTTCTGTGAGGAAAAGTTCACATTCTAATATGTATTTTTTATATATAGTTCTATATAATAGTGTATGTTTGTGATCAGCAGTACCTATCTATCATCTTTATAATGGCTGACTTGGGCAGATCTGGTGATCTTCCCAAGAACAGAGCACATCTCAGACCAGAGATTGGTCCTTTCCAACCCTAACTATTCTATGATTGCCTGCCATTACCATGTCGGCCCACAGCAACACTTAGAATATCTGACTTGCCACCCTACAGAGGGGCAAAGAGAGCAGTGAGCCGTGGATATTGTCCCACTGAACCATACGTCCTTCCCTGTCACCTGTCTTCCTAGCAAACTATTCCTATTATGTGACCAGATTTATGCCCATCATATTACAAAAATAAAAGCAGGTACACTGAGTGCCCAGAGATGTGTGAGAGGATGGGATAAGGGTGCCCAAACACTGAGTTTGCTATAGCTACAAGCTAGGAAGGATAACTGCAAAACTAGGACCAAAGCAAAAGTCACTGGTGGCTCTAAGGGAAAGCTTGAGCTCCTCAACTTGATCAACAGCACAGAGCTGCAGTCCTTCAGGTCTTTGCTAAATTAAGGAAATGAACAAATAAATGACTAGGACATACAAAAGAATGAAAATAGTTTCTTATGCCTCGTTCCTGCCTTGATCCCCCATCAGGTTTTTCATGCTGGATTCACCTTTTAGTGAACAGTGAATTATTTCAACTCTGAGAACCTCAGAGCACATGGAGGCAAAGTACAAATCAGCCCTGCACCACTGCAGTACAGCAAACTGCAGCTCCTAAGAGCTGGCCCAGTTACGTTTTGTGTTTGTAAAATAACTGCATTCTAATCAACAAAAACCTAACTCAGGATATGTGGTGCAACCAGAAAACTTAAACCCCTGCTCCTGCAAAAAGGGTGGTGCAGAAGAGGGGAACAGGCATGGCCACAGAGTTAAGCACTTGTCACTGCTTCATTATTTTAATGTGAGGAATCTGGTAACTATTCTACACTTCTCTATATACGTTCTTAGTTACAGAAATACTCATACTGGGTTTCCTGCACTGGGATTTGCTCCTCTTTCCATGAAATTCAGACATATTTCTTTAATATCATGGGCTTGCTCACAGGCTTGTAGAAATACAGGCTTCCCATCAGTGGTACAGTTGTTAACATCTGCACCAGAATCCAAGGCAATTTTTGTGCAGTGGTAGTGCCGTGTTGTAGGTGACAGGCAGTAAAACAAAACACCTGCAAAGAAAACCAGCAGCGATTATGGTGCGATACTAAATTAGTAGAAAGGTTACTTAGGCTGTAAGCTTCACAGCTGAACAGACAAAATCCTTCAGCAGAGAAGGATTCACTTCTCTGAGAGTACATACATGCAAAAAAGACTTCCAGTTTAGGTAGGGCCTTTGAACTTCGGGGAGTAAATCAGGATTAAGTGTGACAGGTCATGGGAGGAACATGATCCTCCATCACAAGTTATCTTTCAGCTAGGTACTAGAGAAATCTAAAAGCATAGACTTTGAGGCATAGACTGCTCAGGGAGAATTATTTACAGTGAAGCTCTTATGGCAAATAGCTTCTGCTGAGCTGTAAGGATTACCCTCAGCCATGGTTCCTGTCTATGGATGGCACACAACATACGTAGCAAGTGACTAACACAGTATGGGGTCATTTTATGGTATTTCTGGTCTGACAAGGTTCCCTGTTACTCACCTTTCCCTTCGTTATCCACAACAGTCATGTCTGCTTTAGCTTTTACTAATATATCCAAAATGAACTCATGGCCTAACTCAGCTGCCTTCATTGCTGCAGTACGACCCATTTTGTCCTGGACATCAGGATGAGCTCCCTGTTCCAGCAAGAAGCTGCACATGTCAGAGTCATTTTTAACGCAGGCCAACTGAAGGGCACTGTATCCTTCCATAGGCTCTGTGAAATTAATGAGATTTGGGAATCCATTCTGGACCAGCTTTTCTATTTGCTTCTTGTCTCTTTCATGAACACACTGAAGAAGTTTGTACACTTGTAAGTTTCGAAGTCTGATATCTACTGGTAACATCCTGGAATGAGATAAAATGGCTTCTTTGAAGGAAGTGATTTCTACATGGAGAAACAAGAAAAAATGTAAACTCAGAGATGAGATTATAATTACATGCCAGTTAGAACGGAATCAAACTACGTTCAAGGCGTGAAAATATCCATTTAACTTAACAGAGCACTAAGCTTTGAATGAATTTCTCTCATTTAGTATATACAGCATAGGTAGAGACTATATAAACACATACAGCACTTTGCAAAATTGTTCTTTCTAGTCTTCAAACCGTTATGAGGAAGTCTCACTGAAGGTGAAAATTAAGTTAAGAAACTGTAAGGTAACTGCTTTCCATTCAAGGAACTGTTATAATCTGCAATTACTTGGAAGCTTAAGGGGAGGCTGAACATCTGTCATTTTAGTACTACAAAGAGAAAAAAAAATCACAAGTCACACTGTTCTCTGTACTTGCTGAAACATAAAACTGATACTAGCATCACCTCATCAGTGTCTGAGCACCTTCTTTTTTCAGTAGCTGAGGCATGAACTTCCTGCTGGGCTACGTACGTAACAGAGTAAATTGCATTTCACTGCAGCAAATACTCTTGGGGAAAAGAAAAAGAAGATGCAGACAGTGGAGCACTGGCCTGGAAAAAGGTTCCCTCGGGTGGCAAGCTGACAAGCTTAAATGTTCTCTTATATTCTTCTTATATTTTCCACCACCCTGTAGCAGTAAGGAACTTGGGTTTACTTTCAAAAGCTGGATCTTTTCTTCCCACTGTTACTCATTATTTGCACCTGGGTATTTTTTCAGGAACTCATTTAGGATCACAACTTGCCTTTTTTTCCCTTCTCCCCCACCTCCCCACCCCCAAATCGGCAAACACTAAAGAAGTAACATTCTCCATGGAAATAGGTTAGTAATGCTACAGAATGTAAGCAGCATTGCAGCTGGTAAAATCTCTCAGTAACCTTTGATGCAGGCACAAATGGATATAATATTCAATGCATATGGATTTGGATTTATTTCATGGATTATGCTTGAGATTCAGAACAGTGCTAGTGCTACCTCTTGCACAAACATGACACTCGGTCTCTGAAGTACAAGCATCCAGAATAAGGATGGCCCAAAGTGTTATGTCTTCCAGAGGGTGAGACGACACAGTTGCAAAACAAGTGTGAAACCAAAGTGAAATAAGTATGTGATTAGGTATGACTTGTTCCCCGCAACCTTCAACTCATTCAGGACATGAGATTGACAGCACACCTTACACTTACTCCACGCTTTCCTTTTTGCTCACAGGGTAATGTATTACACACCATTACAACTTTAGCCCCAATTCAGCCTGATTAGTTTTTCCTGGTGCTTTTGAGATGCTTATCATGGTATTATTTTAATACTTCACACACAGTAACAAAATCATTTCCGTAAACATAAGCAAAACTATTTTCATTACAGTGGTGGAGTATGTTGTTATCACAATTCAGCCACCAGCAAGATCCTACCCAGTTTAAAGTCTTTGCTTCAAAGCATTAAGAACCAACAATTTACATGGAAATAACCATAACATTTTAAGTGTGACAGTTAATATGAAAGTGACTGGATCAAGTTTTATTAGAATTTTCTACAGTAACAGCATCCCAATAAGACAGGTGGGATTAGAAAGCTCTACCCAGTCAGGTGAAGCTACAAGCAAGTAAAACAGGCTTCTATGATGAAAATATCACTGCAGCATCTTGCAAATTTTCATTAAGTAAATACTACCAACTGTACGTATTTGATAGAGTTTTTATCACTTAACCTGTAACAGATGTTTTAATGAAAAATGAGGGATTGTTAATGTGGTTTTGAGTCGGTCATGCTCTGGGGAGGGCTTCATGAAGCTATGATCATAAATCCCAGGCTTGTAGAATCTGCTTAGCAACAATTTTATCTGTTGACAAACATCAGCAGAATCGCTACCTTCATTCTGCCAGCTTGTATCATTGTTTCAGTTGAGAGCATGAACTCATTAAACCTTTTCCTGGTACACTTAGTATTAAGAAAATCATTTCAGCCAGGTTCTTGATTCCTCACAAAGCTTTCCAAGCTGTGATCCAAGGTACATCGATGGAGAGGGAAGGTCTAGTGGCCAGTGCACTCACTCAGTGACTGTCTAAGCCTGGTGTCTCACTGCTGCTGCTGCAAGCACCTGGGACTCCTTTTTTAAAGTTTTCAACATTTCTGAGTTTAAACTTTTCAAGTTGAAAACAACCCTTTAATTACCACCATTCACAAACCAGTAAATGAAATTTTCATGTGTTTTATCTCTAGTGAGAGAAAATAGCTTAGCACTTTCTAAATTTAATCCATTTGCCTGCTGGCCACAGAGATAAGCATGAGCCCTATGTGCCAGTACAAAAGAAACCAATGTGGTAACAGTGCCATACTATATTTACAGCTTTATATGAATAATTGCACTGGATTTTTGGCTGTGACTAATGTTTAATAAGAATGACGAAGCAAACTCTTCCGAAAACTGAATTCCAATTTAATGAATAGCCTGTAATGCTGAGTTCTCTCTTGAGCCCTTCTTGGTGTTAACTCTCAAGAAATGCTTTGCCTTGGGCAAAGGCCATAGCTTAGTGCTGAGTGACAGTCGCTTCCCTGGCACAGTAATTCCCAGTGACAGTCATTCCCTGTCTGAAATGAGCCTGTTTTGATGTCAAGATACAGACCTTTGGGAAACTGGGCCCAGTCCTGAGCACTGTAAGGACATCCCCGAGGCTATGGCTGGATATTCGGATGGATGGATGGATGGACGGATGGATGGATGGATGGATACATGCATGAATACTCAATAAATGTGCATTCTTTTCAGGCTGCCTTGCAACTTCCAGTCATAGAATCACAGAATCACTGAATGGTTTGGGCTGGAAGGGACCTTAAAGCTCACCCAGTTCCAACCCCTGCTACAGGCAGGGATACCTTCCACTTAGAGCAGGTTGCTCCAAGCCCGTGTCCAACCTGGCCTTGAACACTGCCAGGGATGGGGCAGCCACAGCTTCTCTGGGCACCCTGTGCCAGCACCTCAGCACCCTCACAGGGAAGAGCTTCTTCCTTATGTCTCATCTAAGTCTCCCCTCTTCCAGCCACTTTGGTGTTCAAGCCCCAGCGGCGGGCGGCAGAAGCAGGCGGCCCTCAGGCCAGCCAGTACCTGGCAATCAGGTGCCTGAGCAACACCTGCTGGGACAGGGGTTGAGAGGAGGCTGCTCCTCAGCTAGGAGACCTCCACATCAGGCCCTGGGCTGCTGGTGACCAGGCACTGCTGTGCCTGGGAGCAAGGAACAGGGTGAGAGACTGCTTCCACGAGCCTCAAGTGCGGAGGGCCCCGTTGGAGCCAGGTAAGGGACGGATCTGGTGTTAGTTGATTCTTCTTGGGTTGCGACTGGGAGGAACGGAGACTGGCTTTAATGGGAGAGAAGCTGCTTGAAATGGGCAGAGCTGGCGCTGACCTGCGGGGTACTTGCGTGGTAAGGACCATGCAGGAACACAAACCGAGGTAAGTTCCAGTCTGTTCTCCTCTGAGGGAGGCGTCAAGCACAAGGGAGGGCGCTGATGTCCAGCGAGGAGTATTTCCCTTATCAACCTG